TTTTGTGGCCTGATTCTATAGCATGTAGACCTATGGCTGATGATTTTTCAAGTCTTTGTAGTTCAACAGGATTTCTCGGTGGTCGAAGAGATGCTCTACGGTGTTCATTTCTTCTGATTTTGATTTCTCGAGAAGTTTGTCCGATGTATATCGCATCACATTCCAAGCATTTTATTTTATAGACACAATTAGATAGAGAATCTTTAGGGATTTGGTCTTTTATATGGACAAGGTTGCTTTGAAGTGTGTCTGATGTTTTGAAGAAAACTCTCATATCGAGCTGATTGATTATTATTGTTCGGAATAGTGTTTAATATTGAATATATATATTATTAGTGTATGCGTATATTGATCGATTGATTTTTGTTTAAAATGAACTCTGTGCACGTATGTTGAAATCGTTTATGCAGATACATTTAATAATGTTTTTGCCCTGTAAGCAGCTGACGAGAAAGCGACGAAATAAAGGATGATACCATTTTATTCTGCTAAAACTGTAGTTCTTGCTTTGTTTAGATATAATTTAATTTGGTGTATGACGAAGGTTTTCCTGACATATTTAACTATTCGATTTGATCACACTGTGATAACTATGAATAGTATGAATGATTTAGTATAAGTGACAAGAGAGTGCAGCTAAATACGGTAATACAATTCTCCTGTCGAACAAAACTCTACTACCGCCCACAAACAAAAGTATTCTAGATTAGTGACAGTGCCAAATGAATTTTCCAATTGAAATGATTCGAGTTAGTAAGATACATTTTATAATAAAAGAGGACAAAAACGAATTAGGAAACTGTGTTGATGCATGAATGTTCACGAAACATTAGTTGAAAGGCATCTGAATACATGCAAAAAATGGTCCAAACTCTCCGACCTACAACAACCCCTCTATTCCCAACTCTCGCCTTGTATCTCATCAATTAAAACCAGAAATCAGTATAAAATAATCTATGCTCGTACAACCAAGTACAGGAACTCAACGATACCATACTTGACTCGTGTTGTAAGCGACAGAGACAATGTTAAGCGTGAAACCTGTGACTTGCTTTGTGGTTAATAACATAATTTCAAGCTCTTTCTATTTCTCTCTTATTTTGTATTCTATAGAGATCTCCTTCTTAAACATACTTAGCTACCTAAATTATTAACATTGGTTTACTTTTTGTACTTTACTGTATTCCTTCTTTTGTGTATCTACTGGTTCCGACTATATTAGCACTATGAGTATTACAAAATTTTCCTGTCATTAACCATCATGTAATTATTAGTTTTGTAGTTGTTGTTTTCTTATTTTCTATACTTTTCGGCAATATTAAACTGACAATCATTGGTTGTGAACGCCATAGTCACCACCTTCAAATTTTGTATAATACAGGATTACTCACACTACCACTACAAACACTGCATTAGACCTGACAATAAAAAAGAAAACAACAACCCTGAAATGCTATTTTATGATTGTTTAGTGTTGTTTCAACCAAATTAACTGATCATCTTGGCGATAAACATTCTTAAATATCATTTCATAACTTCTTGTATGACTATAGCTTTACTGTCACCATGCATAATCGTATCATAGCTTCCACTACCCAATACTGAGATATTATTTTATGTTGTTTATATTTATTTCTACTTCTTGGTATTTTTTCACGTTTTTTTAAAAATTGTTTTGTTTTATTTGTGTTTGTTTTTTTGCTGTTGTTGTCTTTATATTTATTTCTTTGAAATACTCCTTTTAAAAGTTGGATAAAATTAGACGCAAATATTGTAGATATGTGCTGAAAATTCCACACTGTACCACTAGTACTGTTTCTGGAATAAAGCAAATTATTATTATTATTAAGTCATACACTTAATTTGTTTATAATTCAGTCAGGCAGATGAAACGGCAGCCTGCTTAAATCACTGAGCTACAAGAGTTTCCATCCATTAAAGTGCTTTCTTGAACTCTTCTGCATACCCTGTTGTTTTAATCATGTCTATTTAAATATCAAATGATCTGAACATGAATTCGGGTGCATATTTAATTAGCTTCCAACTGACTGGTGTGCAATTCTTGAAAAATATGAAGAAAAACGTCACAGAATTGGTAGGATAAACAATGGGCGGACCACTTCAAAGGACTCTTGAACCGACCACCACCTACAACCCGTCCAGAAATGCCAACAACAGCACGTACACAACTACAAGTTGACACCAATCCTCCAACGAAAACTGAAGTCTTGAATGCAATCAAGTTTCTGAAAGCTACAAAAGCAGCTGGACCAGGTGGAATACCCCCTGAAGCACTGAAAGCGGAACCAGAAACGATAGCAGATATGCTGACTCCATTATTGCAAAAGATCTGGAAGGAAGGAAAGGTGCCTACTGACTGGAGAAAAGGTTACCTAGTGAAACTACCATAGAAGGGCAACCTAGGACTCTGCAAGAACTGGCGAGGAATCATGCTCCTGTCGACGCCAAGTAAAATCCTGAGTCGCATCATCCTGGAGAGAATAAAGGACGCACTGGATACAGAACTCCGACCAGAACAAGCTGGATTCAGGAAAGGCAAATCATGTTCTGACCAAATTGTAACTCTACGCATCATCATCGAACAAAGCATGGAATGGCAATCAAACCTCTACCTCAACTTTATAGACTTTGAGAAGGCCTTCGACAGCGTTGACAGCGAAGTAATTTGGAAACTACCCAAGTACTACGGCGTACCCCAAATATTCATCAACCTTATTCAACAGCTGTACGACAACGGCACATGTCAAGTGATCCACAACGGAAAACTCAGCGAGGCGTTTGGAGTAAACACAGGAGTCAGACAAGGGTGCTTATCATCACCAATGATATTCCTAATTGTCGTTGACTGGATTATGCGTCAGACAGTGGGAAACGAGAAGACAGGGATATCCTGGACCGACGTGAAGAACATAGAAGACCTGGATGACTTCGCGGATGATTTATGTTTGATGTCACACAAAATCGAAGACTTACAAGCGAAAATCGACAAACTGGTCGAAGAAGCATCAAAGACAGGACTCCAGGTGAACATAGACAAGACGGAGGTTATGAAAATAACCAACCAACAACAACAGCAACATCCAGCGCCAATCACCATCAACGGGAGGGATTTGATAGAGGTTACTTCTTTCACTTAACTAGGCAGCATTGTCTCAACTACAGGAGGAACGGACGAGGATGTCAAATCGAGCGAGAATCGGGAAGGCGAAAAACACATTCATCAACCTGAAACCAATCTGGAAATCTTCCGCTGTCACTCAGCCTGCATCAACAACAAAGTGATTCGGATTTTCAATACAAACGTCAAGTCAGTCAGTTCTTCTATACGGATCAGAAACTTGGCCAGTGTGTCACAAAGAATATTTCCAACAGCCTATTGCACACCTTTATCAACAACTGTCTTCGTTCTATACTGAAGATCAGATGGCCGGAAAGAATCACAAACAAGAAACTATGGGAACAAGCAAACAAAACAAGAACCAATCGCTCAACAAATATGCAGGAGAAAGTGGAGATGGATTGGACACTCGCTGAGGAGGCCGCTGGGTGACATCGCGCGTCAGGCCAGCGCTCGATTGGAACCCGAAAGGGAAGCGGCGAGTGGGATGTCCAAGGGTGACATGGAGGAGATCATGTGAAGATGAGTTGAAACAGTATGGATTAACATGGATGCAGGTGAAAAGTACAGCAGAATACAGAAACAAGTGAAGACGTGCAGTTGAAGCCCAATGTTCCACTAGGAACCCAAGGGAACAATAATAATAATAATACAATTAGAGATTGAATATGTAGAAATAATAAAATGGCAAAATATACAGAAAGTTCGGATATGAAAATATGGTGGTGTAAATAGGGTTTAAGATTAACTTAAAATAACATGAATAAACAGGAAGGCAATGGGATGGCCACTACTGGAATAATTACCTGTTTATGATGGCCACAGCAGGGACAAGGGTTGAACGTATTTTTCGGATACTTAGTGTGGGTTTGAGCTTTTGGATGACTAGTGCCTCGGTATGCCTAGATGTCTTAACTTCACCCCCTTTAATAGGTTTGATCGGATCTTGTATATTATTTTGAAGCATTTCTTGAATGGCGCTGAATGTCCTGAATTGACCAGATGTTCTGTCACTGAACTATACACCCGTTTCCGTTTTTCTTTTACTAGCCAAGCTGGATAGTGTTCCCGAACGCATTTTTCAAGTTGGCGCATGGTACGGCCGATGTACTCAGCTCTGCAAGAGCAAGTAAACTGGTATATGCACGTTGAAGTGGCCCAGTGTAACAACTTGTCTTTCGCGTTCTCGTTGAACAGTTTCTTGCAGGAGAACGTCAGTCGTAAGCTCACGTCGAAGTACAATTTAATTGTAACTTGGAACCAAAAGGCACACGAATGATAGTGTTTAAATTGGAACCACGGAAAACTAAGGACCTTCAAACACTTGTTTTTCGCTTCATTTATCCCCTTTCCAGATATGTATGTGTCGATGTTGAGTTCAGAATCGTAACCTCTTGCAGACAGCTACTCAGTATTCTTCGAATTGAATGAAATCATTGATTGAACAGCGAATTCTATTCTCCCCAAGTTTTCAGATGGGCACTGCTGAATACTTTCATGGAACAACTATTCTATATTTCTTTTCCTCCAAAATATAATGCTTTAGTAAATATCAAGTTATGATGTTGTGGGCCAAATGGTTCAGCAATAAAGTGCTGGCCAATCATGTACGTTGTCTAGGGTTCGAGTTTAGATCGGCGCACTCTTTTACCTTTCTTAGCCAGTTATAATCTTGACAAAGAGGGAAGGTTAAGTGTATGGCTAACAACCCCACCCCGTAAGATAAAAACACCACTGATACTGGTACCACTTGAAAGCTGTAGCTTCAAGCCCTATGTTCCACTTGTGGAACGCAAAAGGAATAAATTTGCCAATATCTTAGAAAGTAAATAATTTAAAATGTATTTAGGTAAAAACTTACAATTCTTATTCTAGGATAATCATATAACAACCAACCGGTTAGTAATCCAATAGTGTAAGTTCCACACCGAGCATATGGTCTTATATAGATTTCATCTTTTGGTATTCTATTTATTTTTTGTTTTATCATTCCAAAATTATTTTGTGCAGTTGTGGGAACAATTAGGAAAAGCACAGATAGATAAATATTAATCAGTGGGTAGAACAAACATTAAAATTGCTGTAGATCAAATTATTAAAAAATCTCTCTCTCAAAACCTGGCATAATTCACACTGTGAATGTAAATCACAAGATGAAGGATAAAACTGAACGCAAAACAGACTGATTTGATAATGGATATGTTGCCTAGATAATGCTAGATGAATAGAATTGATCAAAAAGTAGATCTTGGTCCCACTCCACCAGATTTCAGCCCAGAGAAATGGATATTATCATCACTTCTCACGCGACAGATGTGGCTCATTATTATTATTATAATTGTTTCCTTGGGATTCAAAAACACATCCCTGCTTTTTGATTGAACCCTTGTAACTAGTGCGACGTGTCTAGTCCTTCGTTTGGTGCTGACTAAATTCTATTAGAACAAAATATTTAGAGCGAACTATTGTTTTCAATAAATTCTTCTTCAGGCTCTACAATTATAAATCCATTAATTTAAGCATGCAATAGCCAGTAAAGGCAAATTAGAATCATATCAGAAAGTGTATTGTGGAACAAGTATAAGATGGGATGGAACAATAGTCAGTTAGTTTTTACTTCATCTCATTTTGTCCCATGTTGTCATTGACCATGCATATTAAAAAACTAACTGACTATTGTTCCATCCCATCTTATACTTGTTCCACAATACACATTTCTGATATGATTCTAATTCGCCTCTACTGGCTGGCTATTGTATGCTTAAATTAATGGATTTATAATTGTAGAACCTGAAGAAGAATTTATTGAAAACAATAGTTCGCTCTAAATATTTTGTTCTGAATAAATTATGGGAATATTCAATTTACTGAATTCTATCAGTCAGGTTTGCAATGTGGCTACCACTCTAAGTAGCTCACCATGACGGTGCACATTGATTTGATGATATTAGATAGTTGGAGGCAATCGGCAGGAAGCTTTGGACCTGGACGAAACCTATTGTCATCTATCCGGTCATCTGATCTTCAATAATGGAGCTAGCGAGGGGGCAGTTACTGATAAAAGTCTTCATTCACCTGTTGGAAATCCTTTTCGTAAGTGTAGCTCATTGCTGGGTGATTCACTTCTGTCCATCCTTTTATATCAGTAAATTTTTTAGAAGAGTTACTGAATTACCTCTTAGCAGCTGACTCGTATTTTCATTCCCTTATGAACTGGTGAGAAGTTGTGTGTTGTAATTTTCATCTATAATTATGTCTCAAATAAAATTATTCAGTACACTGATTTCCTCTATGAGTTCAATGGTCATCTCTCCTGGTGTGTGAAATTCAATGTATTCACTGGTTGTTTCTGTGTGTTTTCACACCCTCTAGACTACTACTTGTATTGATATTCATACTGATTGTTTCCTTGACCTGAACTTTGACCCTTTGTATGTGTGTGTGAGAGAGATTATCTTCTTATCGATTCATAAATTTTTTGCTGTGTCGAAGTGTCACTTGTGATTGATGATTCACTGGAATACCAGACAAGATTCAAAAAATTCTCTAGCATTCTTCGTATATAGACAAATCGACGGTGTGGCAATGGGGTCACCACTAGGACACATTCTAGCCGACATTTTCCTTGCGAAACTAAAAAATGGGCCTCTGAAGGATGTTACTAATGAACTCGAATTTTATTGTCGGTATATTGATGATACTTTTTTGATTATGAAGAACGAGAAGGAAGCAAAGAACATCCTGGATAAATTTAATGAGGTACATCCTGCAAAAAATTTTACTATTGAGAAAGAAAAAGACTCTAGTACTTCATTTCTAGACGTCCTTATGAGCATAAAAGAGGATGGCTCAACGGGCCAGTACACATATTTTCTCAGTTTTGTGCCTTTGCAATACAAAAGCAATCTAATAAAGTGCTTGGTCCACAGAGCAAGAGAGATTTTCTCGGACGAATGTCTTGACGAGGAACTTAACAATATTAAACGGTTGCTAAGTGAAAATGGTTATCCTGAAAAGTTTATTGATAAGAATATGAATCTAAAATCATGGCAGCCCAAGGTACTAGCAGTTCCTAAAAAGGTCTTATTCTTACAAATTCAGTTCCTCGGGGATAACATTAGCGAGATACTAACACAACGCCTCAGAAATGCGGTAAAAAGAGCATTCCCTACTGCTGGATTACGCTGTGTCTTCAAAACCACCCCTATTTCGCGTTACGGAGTAAAAGATAAGCTGCTTAATTTCGTCTCTTCCATGTGTATCTACCAGTTTAACTGCTCCTGTGGAGCCAGTTACATAGGCCGTACAATTAGGCGTATTTCACGTCAAATTTCTGAACATCACCATGCCTGGTTAAGCAAAGGACAAAGAAAATCTATTCGCAGAGCTATTCTGTCTCATCTTGTGGAGACAGAACACAAGAATGACGTTAATCATGCTTTCAGAGTCATTTACAACATACCTACTAATCTCAATTTTGCCTTAAGAGTTCGACTGCTAAATATTGCTGAGGCAGTGGGGATCCATATTAACAAGCCTAATGAATGCATCCAAAAGAAGTTAGTTCAGACATTTTCATTACTTTGGCCATCCAAGTTTGAATGATCCGGAATTCTGTGGAATTTCCCTAATTTTAGTTGATATTCTATTCGCTATTATATCTTTATTATTATTATAATTTAAGCATCTTTAATGAACTGTAATTCCATTGTGATCTTACTTTACAAATCGATACTATTTAAAAAACACTAACATTGTTAATAACTACTAATCTAGAATATTCTGTGTACATAAGCATGCATATATAATTGTAGAGCCAGAAGAGAAATTTATGGAAAAGAATATTCTTTGCTCGATTATTCTTGGTATTTCCTCTGTTCAATACTTGGACGTTGGTTGTCTCAGTCGAATTGATGTCCGTGGTTGTTTGTATGCAGTGTGGCTATATGTGAGAATATATGTCATGTATTTTGACGGCCAACTTATGATCATGGATACGAAGATGAAGGGGACGTCCACTTTGGTCAGTGTAGTGTTTTTCGCAGTTGTTACAATTTACTTTGTAGATGATAATGTTGGTTTTATCTTCTTTCGTTGTTGAGTCTGTCCTTTGGTTGACATAGAGCCAGCTGAGTGAAGTGACTTTGTTGGTTTGTGTGCGACCTTAATTCCAACAATGCTAGAGAATTTTTAGAAGCCCACGTGGTATTCTAGTGAATCAGCAATCACTATTGACACTTCGACACAGAAAAAATTTACCAATCGATATGAAGGTAATCTCTCTTTCTCGCACACACATACAAAGGTTCAAAGTTCAGGTCAAGGAGACAATCAGTACGAATATCAATACGAGTAGCAGTTTAGAGGGTGTGAAAATGCACAGAAACAACCAATGAATACATTCGATTTCACCCACCAGGAGAGATGATCAATGAACTCATGGAGAAATCGTAAAGCTCACTCCAACATACTGAAGTATGCGTGCTGAGGATGTTGCTTTGTAGGTGGAAATGAAAGCTTCACAAATAAAGCATCCATCTAGCTCAGGGAAGCACAACTGCAAGGTGTACTGAACTCCTTATGCTTTATCAAAGATACATTTCAGAAGAATTTATGCACGTACGTCTAAGTATAAAAGTTCCATTATACCATATTTAGTACGTACTTTATGTGATGAAAATAGTGTCAGGCATGAACTAACTAACCTTCTTTGCACTAGTAAATAAACCATTTCCTCCACCCTTAAAGGATCAAACTTTATTGTTATTGTATTTCTTATATTTATAATCATCTCAATTTTTTGTTTTGTTTATTTTTTTCATAATTGTGGACATAATTTAGGCTGTATTATAACTGTTAATTTTGTATTTCCCCTCACTATACTATATCAACAGAACATTAGATCCAATAATCTATAATATGCTAAAATTTCCATACTGAATCGACAATACTTCTTGAAACAAACTCACTGTTATTATTATTATTATATTTACTATTCTCAATTCGTACTTTGAGTATTTTTGACTTCATATCGTAAGTGTGGACAAATTCCTCTAGTTAATTTTGTTTTAATTTTATTTATATTTTGAGTGGAGTGCGTCGGTTGCATTGTGGTTAGGACGCTCGCCGACCATGCACATGTGGTCCGGGGTTCGATCCCCGGCCACAGACGCACTCCTTTGCCTCGCTAAGCCAGAAATAATGCTGGTGAAGAGGAAAGGTTGGGCATGAGGCTGGCTAGCAACCCCATCCTGTAAAAATAAACACCGCTGCTACAGAAACTTCAAGCCAACTAGCTTGAAGCCCTATGTTCCACTGGGAACGTGAAGGAATAGAAAAAAATACAATAGGCGTAATAAACTCACTGCATAACACCGTATGAATTATCATATGCAATACAATAAGTGAGCACTGAGGAAGATAAAATTAGTGACAATGCCAGTATAATTCCTGCCAGTCGTCTCCTGTATAGGGATAGAAAAGTGCGTTGGAAATCAGGCGCTTATATTTAAACTTATATATATATATATATGTATATAATTGAATTCGTTGAAAAGATAAGAGATTTAAATGTTAACAATAAATTCGTGATATCATTTCATGTATCTTCCTTATCTACCAATGTGTACCAATTATGGAAACATCAGAAGTTTGTATGCTAGGAACTCATAAGACGAAACATTGATGTCGACATTCCTATATCTTTTATAAAACAGCTTCTCTTCAAATGCACAATGAATGTTCACTTTCTACTCATTAAGGAACTATACAGACAAATCGATGGGGTCACACCTAGGACCACTTCTAGCCCCAAATTTTCCTTGCAAAACTAGAGGATGCGACTTTGAAATATGTTCATTGATAAATTAAGAATTCTTATGTCCTTACATGGATGACACATTTTTGATAAGGGAAACAGAAGGGATGGTGCAAAGAACATCCTGGACGAATTTAATGATGTTTATCCTGTAATAAATTTTACCATCGAGAAAGAAAGTGACTCCAGTATTTCATTCCTAGACGTACTCATAACTAGAAGAGAGCATGGGTACAATAAAGAAAAGTGTATATAGAAAATCAGTACACTCATTTTTTCAGCTTCACACCTTTGAAATACAAACGCAATCTAATAAGGTACTTGGTCCACAGAGCAAGAGCAATCTGCTCTGATGAAATTCTTAATAAAGAGCTTAATATTATCAAACAGTTGCTGTCAATGATTGTGAACACTGAACGTTTGTTCATTGGCCCTGGTCGCCATCGGCGGGCAACTCGAAGGCGCGAGTGATTGGATCGTGTACAAGTTGGAAGGAGAAGATGAAAGAATACGAATAAAAGTACAATACAAACACTAGTAAGTTCTCATGAAGACTGTTGCATTGAGGGGACTAAAACTGAAACTAAGTCTAATGCAAAATACCTCGGTCTAGTTCTATCTTCCGACCTAATATGGACATCTCATGTCCTAACGATTTCTAAGAAAGTGTTCTGTCTAACCTACTACATTAAGGAACTTAGAAAATCTGGAACCCCGTAAACTCTACTTTCACAATTTGTCAACTCTTGTATCTTACCTATTCTACTTTACTGCTCCCCGTTAGTCTTTTCTGGGCTATTGAGAAAGAACAATACCATCCTGAGAAGGATGTTGAAGGTAGTTAGTAGGAATAGTGGTGTAAGACTCAGTCAGCTCGTCACTACATTAGTTGAAAGGCATCTGAATACATGCGAAAAATGGTCTAAAACCATACTCTCCGACGCCCAACACCCCCTCTATTCCCAACTCTCTCCTTGTATCTCATCAGGTAGAACCAAAAATCAGTATAAAATAATCTATGCTCGTACAACCAAGTACAGGAACTCAACGATACCATACTTGGCCCGTGTTCTAAGCGACAGAGACAATGTTAAGCGCGAAACCTATGACTTGCTTTGTTATTAACAACATAATTTTAGGCTCTTTTATTTCTCTCTTATTTTGTATTCTATAGTGAACTCCTTCTCAAACATACTTAGCTACCTAAATTATTAACATTGGGTTCCTTTTTTGGCTTCCTTTTCTGTTCTTTATTATATTCCTACTATTGTGTATCCACTGGTTCTGACTATATTAGCACTATGAGTATTACAAAATTGTCCTGTCATTAACCATCATGTAATTATTAGTTTTGTAGTTGTTGTTTTCTTATTTTCTATACTTTTCGGCAATATTAAACTGACAATCATTGGTTGTGAACGCCATAGTCACCACCTTCAAATTTTGTATAATACAGGATTACTCACACTACCACTACAAACACTGCATTAGACCTGACAATAAAAAAGAAAACAACAACCCTGAAATGCTATTTTATGATTGTTTAGTGTTGTTTCAACCAAATTAACTGATCATCTTGGCGATAAACATTCTTAAATATCATTTCATAACTTCTTGTATGACTATAGCTTTACTGTCACCATGCATAATCGTATCATAGCTTCCACTACCCAATACTGAGATATTATTTATTATGTTATTTATTTTCCCTTCTACTTCTTGGTATTTTTTCGCATTTATAATTATTTTGTGTTTTTCCTGTTTTTGCTGTTGGTATCTTTATATTTATTTTTCTGAAATACTCCTTTTAAATGTTTGATAGAATTAGATGCAAATATTGTAGAAATGTGCTGAAAATTCCACACAGTACCACTAGTACTGTTTCTGAAATAAAGGAAATTACTATTATTATTATCATTATTATTGTAAAACATTTGTTTATTGACTTCGTACAGAGTATTGATTTTAACTACCGAAGAATACAATTTCTTGCCATCCCTTGTGTTTTGGAGCTAAAGTCTATATTGTTCATAGTGTAACTGTCGATTCAAGCGTCTTCGGAAATAATAAGAACTTAGGGTTAAGTTCCTTGACAGTTGCTCAGTAAGAACGGTTATCTAGAAAATTTCATCGATAGGAATATGAATCGAAAGTCAAGGCAGGCCAAAGTACCAACAATTCCAAAAAAGGCCATATTCTTATAACTTAATTTCCTACTTGGTGATAACACAACGCCTAATGAATGCGGTATAACGAAGAGCATTTGTGGTGAGAGCTGTCTACTAGCCAAATTGGTAGAGAGTAATTTACGTCAGTATTTACGTTCCCAAGATTTGTCGTGAGAAAATGTGAACAAAGATTGACTTTGCGTAGGCGGATGCAGTTAACATATAGAGGATTTGACATTCAAGAAACAGTCACAAACAGATGAAAGATTAACTTTACGTGAGAAACAACCAATCGGAAGACTGTGTTTGTTTGCTTAAATAACCATAGTAATGTACATGAAAATATATAAATATGCGTTGATTTCCTTTATAAATGATCTGTTGCCTGACTCTTGCCTTCTGTCGTCACACATTCAATCCCCCTGAAGTATACTGTCTCTTCAAAACGTCCGGGAGTTAAAGCTATACTATCTAATTTCGCTTCTTCTATGTGTATCTATCAAACTGACTGCTCCTGAGGAACCAGCTAGTTACATAGGCCATAAAATTAGGCGCGCTTTTCGTCAGATTTCCCAAAACACCATCCTACACAATGGTTAATTAAGGGACAAAGTTTATTTGATTAAGTTTTGGAGGTGGAGTTGCTAGCACCACGCCCCAACCCTCCCTCTTTATCCGGGCTTGGGACCGGCTAGAAAACTAGCGGGCTGGTAATCTAGGCGAGCACTGTCTCAACTACAGGAGGAACGGACGAGGATGTCAAATCGAGCGAGAATCGGGAAGGCGAGAAACACATTCATCAACCTGAAACCAATCTGGAAATCTTCCGCTGTCACTCAGCCTGCATCAACAACAAAGTGATTCGGATTTTCAATACAAACGTCAAGTCAGTCAGTTCTTCTATACGGATCAGAAACTTGGCGATGGGTCACAAAGAATATTTCCAACAGCCTATTGCACACCTTTATCAACAACTGTCTTCGATCTATACTGAAGATCAGATGGCCGGAAGGAATCACCAACAAGAAACTATGGGAACAAGCAAACAAAACAAGAACCAATCGCCCAACAAATATTCAGGAGAAAGTGGAGATGGATTGGACACTTGCTGAGGAGGCCACTGGGTGACATCGCGCGTCAGGCCAGTGCCCGAGTGGAACCTGAAAGGGAAGCGGTGAGTGGGACGTCAGTGCAAGGGTGACATGGAGGAGATCGTGTGAAGAAGAGTTGAAACAGTATGGATTACCATGGATGCAAGTGAAAAGTACAGTAGAAGGCAGAAGCAAGTGGAGGCGTGCAGTTGAAGCCCTATGTTCTTCTAGGAAGCCAAGGGAACAGTAATATATATATATATATATTCAGAAGTAATTGACTCAGTGCCCTATTAGATAGTTGGAGGCAATTGGCAGGAAGCCTTGGACCTAGGTTTCGTGCTAGTTGGCACTCACCAGTCAGTAAGGCGTATCTGTAACCTTGAAGGACTCATATCACTTGTGAGATCGCTTCTGACGAGTGCCAACTAGCAAGAAACCTAGGTCCAAGGCTTCTTGACGACTGCCTTCAACTATCTAATATCATGAAATCAATGTGTACCGTGATGGCGAACCACCTAGAATGGTAGCCACGTTGCAAACCTGACTGACTGATAGGATTCAGTCTACACCAAAGGAAGGACTAGACGCATCATCACACTAGTTACTAGTGTCCGATCAAAACAGTGCCTTATTACTGTGCACTGTAGTTTTATGAACTGTAGACTATTCACTATAGAACATACTTGGAAAATAAGTTTCATGTAAAACATTTCTAAATGGACAACTACGATAACAACAAATCCAACGACTAATTTGTGCAGAATTCCGCTTATTATGCTCCTATAATACTGAACACTAAGACTAATCAGCAAGCAAGAGGGAACTTGTTGATATCACCTTTATGTTTGTTCAGATTAATGTAGAAAGTGTATCTGACACAATTAAAAAGGTTATACTCCTTCTCTGAATATTTAAAATTGGGAATTTATCATCAAACTGCTGATTACACGACTGAGTATGCCTGTCATTTTAAAGACAATTTGACAATATTCAGTAATGAAATATTAGATGAATAGGTTGTATCCGGATCTTTGAGAGTATTGGGAAAATGACATGTAGTACCGTATTCTCGGAAGTGAGGAAGTGCAGTCAACAATATCCCCAATCGCGGCAAATATATTCCTGAACAGGTGGGAAAACTTAGTGACTGAAACGTTCAGCCCCAACCCAAAAGTATGGTGGAAGTATGTAGATGATACATTCCCTGTACTTAGAAAAAAGGATATAAATAGATTTTTCGAACACGTCAACCCAAAAGTGGGGACAATTCAATTCAATTATGAATTGGAAAGTCAGGAACCCAGGGAAATTCCAGCGTTAGATTGGAGCGTAAGAAGGAAAGAAGATGGAAAGTTAAACACACTAGTGTGTTTAAAGAAAATCCACACATTGAAAGAGATATTTGGATTTCGGATCATCCCATCTTATTGGTGTCAGGGAAAATAGGATTGGTGAAATGTTTAAGCAATATGGCAAAGAATCTAATTAGTATCAAGTAAAATCTAAGACAGACAGTGAGGCATATAAGAGAAGCTTTGAAACTTAACAATTACTCTGATAAATTAATGAGGAAGTATGTAAGGAGATATAAAATAAAATTTAATAACAATAATAACCGTGATAGGGATAATAATAACGATATTTTTATTAATGACGACGTGCATGTCAAACATGGACAGAATAATGACAACACCAACAGTAGGGAATTCGGATCATCAGTAGTACTTCCTTCCATGCAACGAAGGAACCTTGGAAACCTTACAGGGAATACTTAACAAACCAGGCAGGAATAAAAATGACTGGTATTGAAAATTCCGGAAAACTCAATTAGAAAGTAGCTTTGTCAGTTGAAGTATACCGTGGAACAGCCAATTAAACAAAACAATTCACTTCATCTAATACCCCGCCTGCAATCATTGTCACCTCAGAGTAGTAGAACAGGGTCAGTCAAACTAGCTGAACAGTACAAAAACCCACCAACAAATGCAGGTTCACACTGTGTGATATATCTTATAAACAAACTAATATGGGACTTCAGAACTCAATTTTATCACGTGAAATCCACAACAAATTGGTGACACAAGAAGAATAACCAAATGCGGATTTAGGTTCGACACTGAATGCAATAAATAACTCGCCTCAAAAAATTTAATTAGGCTATTCTTCCTCAAAAATACTTTCTGTTGAACTGAGGCTGTAAGCAAAAAAGTGAATGACCTATACCGTCGAGAACAACAACACCTTTATTCGACAAAACACACAACCAACTACTAATTTGATTGATTGTATAAGGTTGGACATCCAAGATTGTCTGATCAATTTATGACTAAATCATTCTGCCTCAACCCGATGTCTTCAATCGTCGATTCTGACTGAAACAGGTTTCAAGCCAACCCAGTGACAACATGCTGTTCGCCAGGTGTTACAACACATATCATAACCATACCAGTCAATGAAGATTCTTAATGGTGTTCATCGGCTTCCACCACTTACCTAGTTCCTTACATCAAACCTCATTATTATCAATTATACTGCACCAGCCATTTAAGTGAGTAACTGAAAGTGAACACCTATACTTGACACCTGTAGTCTTTTCAAATCTATTCGCAATTGTTGTGTTTTGCATAGGTTAATTTAAATTACACCTAAAAGGTTCATCAACCTAATCTTCTCTTTGGTAAAGGAGATGTAATGGTTTCGATTACTCTCTCTACTAAAGAGCGAGGAGAATATGCTCTATAAAGAAATTAGAGGAAGAATTTGAGTTTCTTGAAAAGAGATTATAAGAAAAAGGCACAAGCAGCGAAGAAAATTTTCTTTTTGGCGATTCAATCGTAATTATAATTAGCAAAGAAATTTTTAGACCAATCAGATACTGGTAAATTTTGTCCTTGGAAAATTGTATTACATAATGTAAGGTGTACCAGTATCTGACTGGTCTAAAGATTTCTTTGTTAATTATAATTACGATTGTACAGCTCATGAAAATGAATCGTCGAAAAGAAAATTTTCTTCGCTGTTTGTGCCTTTTTCTTATGACTGAATATGGGAATATTTCGTTCATTGAAAAGAGATTGAAGAGCAATGGGTACCCTCAAAGGTTCATCAACAAGTATGGAAGATCCGAAGTCACAAATGAAAAACAAATCACAGTAGGAAAAAAGCCAATCTACTTTGAGCTTGATTATAAAGGCGAAAACATTGCAGCGATGATCAACAGAAGGCTGAGTACATCACTAGCCATAGTCTATCCTGCAGCTAAGCTTGTTCCCATCTATCGAACAACTTGCTCTTTGATGCAATCAAAAATCGATAGATATCCTTCTCATGTTAACTCCAACTGTATATACAAATTTACGTGTATCTGCGGAAGCAGTTACATTGGAAGAACAGAAAGAAGAGCATATCTACGATTTTCTGAACATGTATCAAAAAGCTTACGTCTAAAGGGAACAAATGCTTTAAACAGTGCCATTGCCAGGCATCTCCTCGACATGGGTCATGAGATGGATGTCGAAAAGTCCTTCAAAATTATCAACAGGTAGAAGAGATCAATTCTCCTTAAGTTTACTGAAGCCATTTCCATCAAGCGCCTGAAACCTGATTTGTGCGTTCAGAAAGAAGCAACTATCAGTCTTTCTTTGCCCTGGTAACTAGATATTTTTCATCCGAATGCAAGATGCTGAAAAGTTTTCATTGTGTATGATTATTATTGTTCGGAATAGTGTTTAATATTGCATATATATATGTATATATTGTTACTGTATACGTATATTCATCGATTCATTTTTGTTTAAAATGAACTCTGTGCAAGTATGTTAAAATTGTTTTTGTAGATATATTTAATAATGTCTTTGCCTTGTAAGCAGCTGACGAGGAGGCAACGAAATAAAATATGGTACCACTTTATTCTGCTAAAACTGTAGTTCTTGCTTTGTTCAAATTCATTAAAGAGGAATAAATGCATGAAGTTTCGATTATGATGGCTGCAATAATTAATTAGGGTTATAAGGATTACAATAATCATACATTTTCAAACTCTTACCACATGATCAAGGTGATGAAGATTGGTGCCAGAATAATTGTGAATTGTATATCGTTTGCAATATACCACGACCAGTTTAAACACTGAAATGAAGCAAATTCCACGTATATAAAATAAAATCAGTTAACATGTTTTGTGTTGATTGCTGTCAACACACATAAGCCTTGACAAAAAAGACACAGTTTACTTCAGTTTTGATCACGGAGTGATATTAGTTAAAGAACCTTGTGGAAACCGGAGGGTACTAAATGCCTGTTTCGTCCAATTTTGGGACTCATCGGCTTAAATTGTAATTGGAAGATCATGGGTTCGAAACCCAGGGGGTGCCTACTGTCAATGAGTTCTTAACTATGACGAAACAGTTATCTAGCAGACTCTTCTAGCTTTCAAAAAATCGTAAGATATTCAAGGGTTCGTTTTCAAAGACTTGATTGATTTCAGGATTTTATCATGACCTGATATTGGTTAGAGAACCGCTGGAATACCTGGGATTGCTAGACAGATATTTCGTCCTGGTTCGGTACTCTTCAGTAGTACCCACCCGCCCACTAATGAGGCTGGAACCCAGTACCTTCTGGTTACAAGGTGGCAAGCTCGTAGACTATTCAACCAGTTGGATTCAACCTGATCCAGTAGTCAGCCTACGAATTACAACTTCTGCTAATTCATGATATGGCGCGACCACTAGCGAATAATATCCGTAGCGAGTATATGCCCTCACACTCGACCTGCTGTTCCCCACTAGTGACAACACCCCACTAGATTCCCGAGCAACTATTTACCTGAATAGGGTCAGCCAATAGTGATCATCAGATTGACATTCAGGTGTTGGTTTGCCGGGGTTTTATTGGTTCCAGGATCTCATCATGGGATACCTAGTGACTGGCCCTATTCAGGTGAGAAGTTATCTGGGGTTCTAGTGGGAAGTTGTGACGACTGGGGTACATCAGGTCGAGTGTGAAGACAAACACTCGCCATGGATATCATTCGCTAGTGGTCGCGCCATATCATGAATTGGCAGAATTTGGAATTCTTGGATCATTGGGTCAGGTCCTAGGGACTTACTGGTCTACAACCTCGCCGCCTTGTAACCAGAAGATTCTAAGTTCGAACCTCTTGTGGTTGGTGCGTACTACCGAAAGATCCTCAACTAGGCCAAAGCAGCTATCTAGTACACTCTACTGGTTTTCAAAATTTCTCTTACTGATATCAATCCGTGATCGAAACTTGAAACAAATGCAATCCTTACAAACGGATTCTTGAAATAATTAGACAATATAATAAATTAAATTGTTATATATTAACAGGATTTCTACTGGGCAGACTATTTCTTTACTTACTTAGCTGAATGCAACATCTTTTATTCATTCTATGGAAGTTTATCCTTTTTAAAATCGCATTTTTGTATCTCATAATCAATAAATACTTGAATAATAGGTAATCCTACGTTACAGCATAAGAACTACTGAAATCAATGTTGACCTCTTATATATATATATATATTATATACATCGCCCTCTGGTCTTCCACCAGCTGTGGATCACGCCTCGTAAGTCAACAAGCCCACAAACGCAATGCGTTCAGTTAGACCTGCTTCCCCCCCCCCCGACTACAATTCACAGACGTCTTTGTCCATCCCATATCTAAAAACGTCTCCGCATGTATTTTTTCGTTGTGACTAAGTGCGTCGCTCTCTGGAACCCCCATACGATGGACCATATTAAGTCATTAAACGTATGGATAAATTCCTTATCCTAGGCATAAAAGGCTGCAAAAGCTCTCTCATTATCGATCATCCGAAGGTGATCCCGAATAATACCCAGCTGACTGAATACCCGTTAGTCCTTGGAAAAAAAACACTATCAGCAAATCGGTGCCAAAACAAGAGAAAACAGATTCTGGATGAACTGTGAGATTTTCAGGACACCTGCACACCTATCCTACAGAATAAGATTCATGTTCCCCTCTCATTTCGTATGGTAGATGTATACCTTAATGCAAACACTATTTTTGGTACATTTTCCTCGGCAAGGTTCTCAGCATTCTTGTTTTTTTTCTTGCCAGGTGCGCTGAGCACTGAACATGAAGCAAGCAAGGTATGCGATCCAACGAACGAACATCAGTAAAATGGTGTACATGTTCCAGATTAGCATAGGTAGATGACTAGTAGACACCTTACTGCCATCAATCCTACTGGAAGAGTTTCACCCACTAGGGGGAAAAGTGAACCGTGCCAGTGGATAATTCCTTCAGATTATTAGCCACATGATTCATCGCCATTCATCGGATGCTGATCTTCACCGTTTATGTCAACGCGCTGAGCTGAATTCACGTGGTCAAGCATCCACGCCATTCGATATGCTGTCGTGTTATTTTTGTTCGTTCGTGCACGATCCCTAGCTAGTTAAACAATTATCCTCTTACTGCCATTTTGATCCCAAAATATGTTTCGATCAATTTATTGCTTTACACAACGTATCATCATTGAACAGATCTTGGAATGGCAGTCAGCTATCTATCTCAACTTCATCGACTTTGAAAAGGCCTTCAACAGCGTCGATCGAGAGGTGATTTGGCAATTACTTCGCTACTACGGGGCGCCGCCAACAATTATACATCTCATCCAACAGTTGTATGACAATGCTGCATGTCAAGTAATCCACAACGGGAAACTCATGGAATGCTTTGAAGCGAAGATGGGAGTAAGGCAAGCTAGCTGGCTGGCTGCCTACTATCTCCAGTGATTTTCCTGATTTCGGTTGACTGGATAATGTGACAGACAGCTGGCCGGGCAACGAGGAGACAGGCGTAAAATGGAAGCGCAGAAAAAATTGAAAGATTTGGACTTCGCCAATGATACATGTCTGATTTCCCACAAACTGGAAGATATCCAAGTGAAAAGCAACAAGTTGGCAGAAGAAGCATCAAAGACAGGATATAGGGAAAACAGAGGTGATGGAGATTCCTGGTCAACAACAACAACAACAGACAAAAATCAGCCAGCATAAATGGGAGGATTCTGAAAGAAGCGACTTCCTTCACTTACCTACCTACCTACCTACCTGGCAAGCATCGTCATTTCAAATACAGGCGGAGAGAACTGATAAGGATATCATCAAAGCAAGGATCAGGAAAGCAAGGCAAGCTTTCATTTCTCTCAAGTCTGTGTGAAGGTAGATCAACAGCACTACTCAGCATGAAGTCAGTGCTAATCACCATACGGATCAGAAACTAGGGGCCGCGCTTCGTCACGAAGGGCATTTCGAACGAACTACAGACCTTTATCAACAGCTGTCTTCACTCAATACTACTCAAGATTAGATGTCCGGCCAGAATAGACCAGCAATATTGAGGGACCGCTGGCAATGAGCAAAGCAACCTAGGAGGAACCGATTGTGCAACAAATGTGCAGGAAGAAATGGAGGTGGATTGGCCATCAAATGAAATCACACGCCAGGCCATCACTCGAGTGAAACTTGAATGGGAAGTGGAGAGTTTGTCGTCAGTGTGAGGGTGACATGGAGGAGGAGGTGATGTGAAGAGGAGATGAAATCATGTGAGCAGACGGATTGGAGCCACGTGAAGACGCTGGCAGAGAACCGAACGTAATGAAGAAGTGTGGCTGAAGCCGTATGTTCCTGTAGGAACGGAATGAGACAATAATAGGAATAATTTGTTGTTTTGATTTGACTTTGGTCTAGGCAGAGTAAACACTGTAGGTGTTTGGGGGTATAAGATTTTGCCTTTGGTGTACGTCGTACTATGCGTGAACTTGAACACAACTCATTCTCTCTCTCTCTCTCTCTCTATATATATATATATATATATATATATATATGTTCTCCGTGTTCTAAGTGACAGAGACAATGTTAAGCGCGAAACTTATGACTTGCTTTGTTATTAACAACATAATTTTAGGCTCTTTTATTTCTCTCTTACTTTGTATTCTATAGTGAACTCCTTCTTAAACATACTTAGCTACCTAAATTATTAACATTGGCTTACTTTTTTGTACTTTACTATATTCCTTCTATTGTGTATCCACTGGTTCCGACTCTAGTAGCACTATGAGTATTACAAAATTGTCCTGTCATTAACCATCATGTAATTATTAGTTTTGTGGTTGTTTTTTCTTATTTTTTATTTTTTTCGGCAATATTAACTGACAATCATTGGTTGTGAACGCCATTATCACCATCTTAAAATTTTGTATTATGCAGGATTACTCGCACTACCACTGCAATCACTGCATTAGACCTGACAATAATAAACAAAACAACAACCCTGAAATGTTATTTCATGAGTGTTTAGAGTTGTTTCAATCAAATTAAATGACCATCTTGGCGATAAACATTCTTAAATATCATTTCATAACTTCTTGTATGACTATAGCTTTACTGTCACCATGCATAATCATATCATAGCTTCCACTACACAATAGTGAGATATTATTATGTGCTGTTTATTTTCCTTTCTACTTCTTGGTAGTTTTGCGCATTTAAAAAAAATATTTTTGTGTTTTGTGTGTTTTTTTGTTGTTGTCTTTATATTTTTTGAAATACTCCTTTTAAATGTTAAATAGTAAAAATTAGATGCAAATATTGTAGATATGTGCTGAAAATTCCACACTGTACCACTAGTACTGTTTCTGGAATAAAGCAAATTATATATATATATATATATGGACTCACCATGGATTCAAAGTTAATCAAATTATTCAAATATAAAATATACCAGTTTTTTCGACAATTTGCCATTACAGTTGTATTCAAATCTTGAGGGAAGAATGGCCCGTCGTATACATGAATTAATAAGCCGGTAAAGATAATGATGACTAATAGGTACGCTGGAGTTAATCTAGCAAATAAATGTAGAGTATGAAATGAGAGAAGGAGGCAGGCAGTTAGAGAAAAAGACAAATAATAATGCAAATGATAAGTTGATAGGTGAAATTAACAAAAAGGGTTTCCACGTAACTACCTTTGTTTATTGCGTCGGCAGTTCAGCAGTAGAGGGTTTGCCGAGCATACAAGTGGTCTGGCATTCGAGTCCCGGCTGAAAAACATCTTTACTTCCCTTAACCGGTTATGATCTTGATAAACAAGGGAGGTTGGGCGTGAGGCTATCAACCTCACCTAGTAAAAAGACACCACTGGTAGTGAGACTTCAAAGCTGTAGCTTGTAGCCCTATGTTGCATAAGGAAAGCAGAGGAATAAAAAAGTCTTCGTGTAGACAATCGATGGAATGCGCTTCTCAAACGTTAGAAAAAGTTTTAGGAAAATAGTTAAACTTTAGTGCCAGGCTTTTCTCTTAGTTTACAACAAAGCAGCTAATTCTCTAGTAGGCTGAACAAACTAACTAACTCATCATTGAAATTAATAAATAATCATATTTAGCTGGCTGCTTTTATTCATATAAATTAGAATCTGTATTATTCGAAACCAATCTGTAACGGGAAAAGACAATAGATTAAGTAACGGACTTCTTTTTATTTGGTGGATAACAAATTCTTCTGATTGGTTGTTGATTTTCTGAAGGTCAAATCTTGACAGAAACAGTTATCCAATCAGATTATTCCCTGGTGATAACGTAAGGGCTAAATTCAAATTTAAGAAATAAACAGTTCTACCACTGTAGACACTGACTGAAAATGCTGTTTTCAATTTTGACTACTTCCTATCAATCTGCTTCTTTATACTACTGATAAATCTTGTCAGTTGCACACACCTCACTCTTTCCCCCATCCATCATATATTGTTTCGAGTGGGTACGCCCCGATCTTCTGAGTACTATCCACTCTTCTTGCGTTTTGTTATCGGATGGCTTGTCCCACTGTATCCCTTATCTGGATTTGGCTGGCATTAATACGTTTCTGTTTGCCTCCTCTTCTGATGGTATATACAGGACCACGGCTCCCTGTGACAGTGAATGGTCCTTCCCACTTTGGAAGCAGTTTCCATGGACCTGACCCGTATCCAAATGTATACTTTCTTTCCGTAGACTTCACTTGATCTCCGACTACAAAAATTATGCATTTCATATTTTCCCTCTGTTCAAATTTCTTGGCATCCATCTCCTGTTTGTGATTTATATTCCCGACCGCGTCTCTCCGTTCCGTTCACAGTCTCGTCATACTCCACTCTTGGTGAAGTAACCTTACCTTGTTGCCTATTGGTAGTGGTGCTCTTTTACCATACATCAAGTGAAGTTGTGACTTCTTCGTTGTTTCCTGGTTGGACATACGATTTGCTAGTAGAATTATTGGCAGCTCTGTCTCCCATTTAACCTCACTTTGATGCCAGCCACTCCTTTAGTGTACTGTTATTTCTCTCTGTTAGACCATTCGTTTGGGGATGACATGGTGTTATTCTAGTGTTCTTGATATCCAGCTGTTATGAACGGGAAGTGATACTTCACTTTCAAAACAAGGACACTAATCTGTCGGTATCATCTTCGGAAACACCATGACCTGCGACGGTTGATATTTGATGTACTGTGGATTGATTGAATCTAATAATTATTTCCATTTTGATTATACAAGCTACTATGTAATTAGAAGTTAATTGGTGAATGGTGACTAGTAGTGGAATCCAGGATGCGCATTTCGTCCTATTTGGGACTTGTCATCAGGATGTACCTGCATTTCCCAGTGAGTCAATGATGATGCTCCCACCGAGGCTCGAACCCAGTGCACATAGTTTCAGACGGCAAAGTGTTATCCACTAGACCACTCGGGCCACAAGAACCACCTCTTGTACAATGGGGCATATTAATTATTGAACTGAATTCTAGATTTTCCCGTAGATTCCACTGCTAGTCACCATCCACCAATTAACTTCTAATTGCATGCCCAGACATCGTCGAAGCATCTGCATCTGTAACTCATTTTTGCATCTGCTGACTCTGGTTTCTGAGTTGAAATCCATCTGAGTAGGTTTATGTCATTATAATATTATTATTCCCTTGTGTTCCGAGTAGAACGAGGGGCTTCAATAACACACCTAAGCTTTGTCCTACTTTCTGCTCTTCTCTTCAGGTGACCCCGAAATCGCCCATAATCTCTCATCTCCTCCATTATGGGTAAATTTTATTTTGATAGAGTCTCACAGTGTTATACAGTAATATTTATATTACTGTATAACACTGTGAGACTCTATCAAAATAAAATTTACCCATAATGGAATTACACTCTACCACAGTGCCGAAGTTTTATTCTCTTATCTCCTCCACCTCGCCACACAATCTCCACCATGTCATCCCAGGACACACGCGGCACTCGTCGTTTCCCACTGGGATTCCACTCGAGCAATTGCCTGCATTGCGCGTGATGTCAATCGACGGTTTCCTCAACCTATGCTCGATCCATTTCTATTTTCTTCTACACATTTGTTGAGCAATCGGCTCTTCATTGGTTTGCTCCCACAGTTTCTTGATACTAATTCTTTCAGGCCGGCCATTTGATCTTCAGTATGGAGCTAACGAAGTCAGCACCAGCCCCTTCGAAATGCTTGTCACGCCGTCCATGTTTATGACCCGACTTACTGATTTCACATTTGTGTTGACAAGCAAAATCTGTTTGTTTATGCTGAGGCTGAGTGCAGTGCAGAAGATTTCAAATCTGGTTTCAGTTTGATGAATGTGTATCTCGCCTTTCCGATTCTGGCTGGCTGGCTGGTGTTGACATCTTCAATGGCTCCGTGTGCCGCCAGTTGGTTGAAACAATGCGTCGTAGCCAGATGAGTGAAGGACATAACCTTTGTCAAATTTATACTGTCTGTCCAGCCAGTTTGTTGGTTTTCACCTGTGAGTCTTTCAGTGAGTGTGACATTAAACATTAATCATTCACGTGCAAAATCCAGGTCATCCAGAGTTTTCGTTTCGATCAGTGCAGCGTATTTCACTCCCAACACACAGTCTGACGCATAATCCAGTGCACCACAATAAGAAATATCATCGCGGACGATTACAGACAATCTTTTCTTCCTCCTGAATTCACTCATATCAAACGCCTCGCTGGGCATTACATTATGCATCACCTGACACGTGGCGCTGTCATACAGCCAGTCAGCGGTTGAATGAGACCATGTGGAATACGTATACCTTCCGAGTAGATTTCGTTGGCGACCGATATCAGTTAGCGAAAATCAGTTGGAAATCAGTGAAGACTGTTTGGTTAGAGAATACACCTATTCTGTCGTGTACACCTATACCTAACCCATGGAGGAAGCTGAAAGCTATTCATTTATCATGGAAGTCCTTGATCATGGTCAGAGTTGGGTGCATGTGGATTCTAATTACCGTACAATGTCATCGCTACCTATTTTCGTTAACAATTTTATGTTTTCAGGCTTTAACAGATTGACCTTATTGGTCACTAATTTGAAAAGTTCATCATAAAACTAGATCTCCAGAAGTTAAACTATATGCATTACTCTTTACTGGCTGAATGATATGAGTGATTCGTAACTTGATAATCATTCCTATGTGTACATCTATATAGCTGAACATTTTCCTCCATTACCGCAAAAGGTTTGGAAAGAAGGAAAGGTGCCTGCTGATTGGAAAAAGGGCTACCTCGTCAAACTCACAAAGAAGGATGAGTGACGTCGAACTATGCAAGAAATGGCGGGGAATAATTCTCTTCTCCACGCCAAGTAAAATACCAAGTCTCATCATTATGGAGAGAATAAAGGATGCACTGGATACAGAAGTCCGCCACCCACTGGAACAAGCTGGATTCAACACTATGGCGAACCTCAAATCTTTGTCAGCAGAAAATAGAACGAAGTGGAGACATGTTGTTGAAGGCTTATTTTGCACTCGGAAACCAAGAGAACAATAATAATAGTAGTAATAATCCATGGAATCTTTGAGACGGAAGTTGGAATATCAGCCGTAAATCACAGGGAGTAATAATTAACTTCAAATAAGTAAGTGTTAGCTGAAGATGAACAGTCTACTCAAAATCTAATGCCAACAAGTAAAGACTGACACTATTGAAATCAAACAAAAGTCTGCACAGACAAAGTGTATTGTTAGCATATTATGCTTAATATTATGAATATTCTATACATGATTGACAAACTACAAATTTTATGTTACTAAATTTTATCTCATATACTTACTCACTTGGTATTTCACTGCATTAGATCACATGATAAGTTTTTGGTGAAATGCAAAAGTGTATTAACATCGATAAAGCAGCCAAACTTTAAAAAAGAAACACAACTGGTTTCATGAAACAGAAAACGGACTAACATGTATGTGAATAAATCACGGAGTTAACAAGTGATACCTTGTAGTTAATTGGTGTATGGTGACTACCAGTGCAATCCAGGATACACATTCCGTCCTATTATATTTACATTCCGCAGTGAATGATAAAAGCCAGACAATTCTCTTTAATCAATCACTGACACTCACTGCATAACAGGTGGCTCTGATGATTGCCTAAATGGTCTAGTGGATAACGCTTTGGCGTTTGAAACGATGAGTAATGGATTCATGCCTCACTAGGAACATCATTACTCACTGCGAAATGCAGGTACATCCAGTGACGAGTCCCAAATGGGACGAAACGCGCTTCGGCCTGGAATTCACTGCTAGTCATCATCATCTACCGAATTACTTCAAGTTGGCTCTCAAACATCTTCGAAGCATCCACACAACACAACAGCCAACATGTCGATAATATATAGAGGCTGAACATATTTCTGTCCAAATCACTCAACAGGAAAGTCAAAGCTGAATAGAAAGCATAAAAAGAGATAATCCCTTGTGTTTTTCTAACATACTGATGACTCAAGCAACAATCAGATAAGATTACACATCAACCTTTCAAATTACAATCAGCTGATCGAAAATCACGCAGAGAATGCATGTTCTCTTTTTCAGAATAATAAATTGTAACAGCAAAAATCAACAATACAGCTGGATACAAGAGAAATGCAACAGAAAAATGTAAATTTCATACGACTGGTTCCCTTTATTAGTTTGAATAAATAAAGAACGAACATAGTTGCAGAATAATACGAGCTCGTCTCATTTCGTGGATTCTCTTCAACTGCACACATCGCAAACGAAATCAACCATATGTTACAAAATTCTGTCTGAACATACTTATTACAATGACTTCAAGTTATAGGTTGAGAGTACAGGCAACATATTTTGTGAGTAGACAATTATTTAGTGTTAAAGGAGTAACTATTTGTGTAGTAATCAGACTAAATGGGTGGCATTCAAATTTCGTTTGGAAACAAGGATGGACTAGAGACAAAATATAAGAAAGAGTTTCCTGGAGTTCTAGTGAGAATTTGTGACCAGTGAGGTCCATCCAGTCAAGTGTGAGGATGGATGTCCCACCAACGACATTGGTTAGGGTCACGCTAAATCACGAATTGGTAGAAGTTAGAATTCATGCACTGGCCATTGAATCGGGTCCCAGTGGCTGAATGGTATGCGAGCCAGCTTGCCTTGTATCCGGAAAGTCCTGGGTACGAGTCCCCTGTGGTGGGTCAACTCGTAAAAAAAGAACAACAGAGTGAATAAACACATATTATGGTGAAGACTTCAGGAGGTGGATGGTAGTGGTGGTGGGTGAATAGTGAATTAAGATTATTAGATAGGCAAAATAATTTAATTTAGTAGAATTGGAAACTTAATAGTGAGTTGAACTCAGTGAGTGAAAATCAAAATCAATATTGAGTGGAATGTTGTGCATGAGAACAAAACACAAAAGCACACCAACAAGACAATTGCTGTTAGTGGGTAGTAGGTTAGTGAGAGATTAGTCACGTTGTCTTTCTGTATACAGCAGATATATCGAAGGCTTTTGATGTCGATGGATTCTGCGAATTGAAGTAATCATGCTTTTGCTTTGTGTATTGACTGTTTTGAAAGCGTGTAGGTTCTTTTGAATGTACCTTTAATTCTGTTTACCGTTCTCGTGGATACTTTTTCTTCGACTTTGTCCTCTAGACAGATAAAAACTGGTTTCTTTTCAACTATTTCGAGCATCGTTCTAGGTGTCTTATATTTCAGTGGAATGTTATGCAAGAGAACCAAACACAATAGCACACAAGTGAAACAATTACGGTTACGAGGTAGTAGAGTAGTGACAGATCAGGCACACTATCTTCCTATCCACAACTTCAAGCAAATGTAGAAACTATGTTAAAATATTTCCTAACTTAGAAATGATTTTGTTCTGGATACACACGGATGAGAAGAATCCACGAAATAAAACAAGCTCGTACCATCCCACAGATATGTTTGTTCTTTACAGGATTTCATCATGAGCTGACACTAGTTAGAGAACCATTGGAAAACCACCAGGGAGTACTGGACAGCTGTTTCGTCCTAGTTTGAGACTCTTGAACAGTACGCACCCACTGGGATTCGAACCCAAGACCTTCTGGTTTCAAGGCGAGCTCATATGTCATTAAGCCACTGGGACCCGATGCAATGGTCCATGAATTCTAACTTCTGCCAATTCACAACATAGCACGACTGGCACTAGCCAATGTCTTCGGCGAGTATTTGTCCTCACACCCGACCTGCTGCACCCTATAATCCTGTAACTAGTCAAATCCCAAACTTGAATATCAATGAGATGCTCACTGGCAACTGGCCCTATTCAGGTAGGTAGTAGTTACCTGGGGTTCTAGTGAAAAGTCGTGACCAGTAGGGCGCAGCAGGCCGGGTGTGAGGACAAATACTCGCCGAAGACATTGGCTAAGGGTCATGCTATGTCATGAATTGGCAGAAGTGAGAATTCATGGGCCATTGGATCGGGTCGCAGTGGCTTAATGGTATACGAGCTCGCCTTGTAACCAGAAGGTCCTGGGTTCGAATCCCGGTGGGTTCGTGCTTCTGAAAAGTCCCAAACTAGGACGAAACAGCTCTCCAATACTCCCAGGTTTTCCAATTGTTCTCTAACTAATGTCACCTTATGATGAAATTTGGCAACCAATCAAATGCCTACAATGTTTGTTCTTTCTTTATACAAAATGTAAATCTGCTGACTTTCTTCCTTGGACTTTGATTCATCTCATCCAGAATCGGTAAAGACAGATAGAGTTAAATGTGTTTATAATCCGGTCAAGAGTCTAACTAGTAGGCCAGAAGATTTAAATAATTAAATCAAACAAATAAAAGAAACATAATATGACATAGTGGAGCCATAGGTGAGAATCTAATTGAAAAGTAAGTATTTCTTCGTGTTTGACATGGATTGTTTTCAGTTAGAGAGCCATTGGAAGCCAGCTAGGAGTACTGGACAGCTGTTTCATCCTGGTTTGGGAATGGATTCATGGTCAAACGCGAAAAATCCAATCTAATTCTTACAAACCAATTCTTGAAAAATATTTCTTCACTCAATGCTTTTGCATTCTAAATGTCCCATTAATGGTAATTTTTGTCTCTCCTATTTTTTTAGTATTATGTATATTTTAGGCTGTCTACAGTTGAAGAGAAGCCTCAAAATATAAAAATACTGCACACTTTATACTGTAAATTTTGTCTTTTACGCTTAAATGGAACTCTCTTCTCAATTCGTGTAGATTAAGCATCCTTTCCTTCGATATCACAGCATTATGTACTTCAATTGGACAGACATTAGCAAAAGAAAGCATGGAACAATTACTTTTTTGCTCTATACGTCTTTTTCTTATAACTCAAAAAATGGGGAATATTTCGTTCAAATTTACTTTATAATAATGATTAAAGAGCCAAGTTAAACTTTAAGCACCACTAACTACCAATCAGCGAACGACGTCGAATGGTCCAATGAGGTTCAATGTTGTTCAATGTTGTATAGCGCTTGATTCGTTTCCAATGAGTGCTCTAACGAAGTTACGCTTGCAGTCCAAGGAGGATAATGTTTTACAGTATTGCCTGGATTTGGAGTTGCTTAGGAAGGAGAGGATTTGTTCATGTGGTGGTGTAATAAGTTTAAAAAGCTTTAGCAGGTCGACTGATACATATGTACATCGTTGTGCAATCTTTTTGAGACGAGTTAGCATTAGAGAAGGTAAGCTGATAATTTTAATATTTCGTAGGAACACTTTCTGCTAGGTCGCGTCTCTCCCTAAGGCGGATTTTGTATATTTGTAACTACTGGGTTTTAAAACAGCCTGTGAGAGGCGCAGCTGCTGAAACCGAAAACAACCTCGTCTCAACAGTTCGGTGGTACCAGCACTGCAGAGACATCGCATCATCGAAAGTGGAAAGAATTACTTCGTTGTTGAGTGGAGAAGGCATCATTGTGCACGTGGACGAAACTGTGTTACTGAAGAAAAAATACAACCAACAATGTTTGGGTAATTGGTTTATGTGACACCTCCCTACAAAAAGGATTCGTGGAGAGAGTACCAGATAGAAAGGCAACTACTTTAATACCTATTATTACTAGACTTGTGAAACAGGGATCAACAGTAAATACTGATGCATGTAAAGATTATAACTCGCTGTCATCTCTTGAATATATTCATCACAGAGTGAACCATTCCAGAGATTTTGTGGATCCTATTACGAGGACACATACAGATTCTATTGAAGGATTTTGGGGAAGATTGAAAAATAGGATCAGCATTATAAATAAATCTCAGAAGGATCTCATTTATAGTCATTTGGATGAATATATAAATAGAATGTCGTATGACTTTTCTATTGACAGTCCTATCCTAAACTGGGAGGTGCTTCTGTCACATGTTATAGAAAGGTACCCTGTGTAACAGTTTTATGCAATTTTTTGCTTTCTTTCCGTAATTATACGTTTCTACTTTATCAAAAACCCCTCTTTCATGTGATTGGTCCGTTGAAGGTCGTTCGCTGATTGGTAGTTAGTGGTGCTTAAAGTTCAAGTTTACTGATTAAATTCACTTTCAAATTTACCTGACAAATCGATGTAACACCATCATTGACCAGAATTTTATTCGCTTTTTAACGCCAACTACATTTTTCAGCCTTTGCAAGCACATATAACACATAAGTAATCCACTGGAAATAAAAATGAAAACAAAGCAAAGATCTGCAGAAGTTTGAAGAAATAGAAAACCACATGTAATTTCACTCTAATAAAGTTGTAGTACTAGTGTGTTTGTTTAATTTTTCATGAGATTTTATAGTCATTTCGAATGTAGTCAAATTTCTTTTCTGATAATACAAGTGTGGTGAGAGCTGGCTGCTAGCCAAAAATTGGTAGACAGTAATTTACGTCAATGTTTATGTCCCCAATATTGGTCAAGTGAAAACAAGAACAAAGACTGACTCAACGACCAATCACAGCAGACTTCGCGTGGGCGGATACAAATTGCAGATAGATAATCTGAACTTCTAGAAACCGCCACAAAGAGATGAAAGATTAACTTTCAGTGAGAAACCACCAATCAGAAGACTGTGTTTGTTTGCTTACAGTAATCTATAGTAATGTACATCAAAATCTATAAATATCTGTTGATTTCCTTAATAAACGATCTGTTGCCTGGTCCTTGTCTTCTGTCGTTACACAAGCATTCAGACTTTTATCATATTTCTATAGTTGATGACCGACGATGGTCGACAAGGTATCTTGGAATTTAAAGTGTAGACCGATAAAATTAGCTAGAGGAATAAACGATTCGCGAGATTTGCTGTACTTAGATTTCTTATACTTGTCGCATATGCTACTGAAAAGGTTTATCAGTAGTCGGATCCCAGTGGCTGAATGATCTACAAGCTTGTCTTGTAACCAAAAGGTCCTGAGTGCAAAACCCATTGGGTGCATACTGTCGATGAGTCCCAAACTAGTGTGGTGAGAGCTGGCTGCTAGCCAAAGTTGGTAGATAGTAATTGAAGTCAATGTTTATGTCCCCAAAATTGGTGGTGAGAAAATGAGAACAAAGGCTTTGCGTAGGCGGATACAGTTAGCATATGGATGATCTGACACAACCACAAAGAGATGTGAGGCTAATTTTCTGTGAGAAACAACCAATCAAAAGACTGTATTTTCTACTAACAATAATCTACAATAATGTACATTAAAATCTATAAATATGTGTTGATATTCCTTAATAAACGATCTGTTGCCTAGCCCTTGTCTTCTGTTGTCACACTAGGACGATACAGCTGGCCAGTACTTACAGCTGGTTTTCAGTGGTCCTCTAACTGATATCCATCCGCGATCAAACTTGAGACTATTTGAATCCCTACAAACAGACTCTTGAAAATATAAACAGACGTTCATCTCCTCATGCTGAATCCCTCAAAATGTCAGACTATTAACTTTTCCTTCAGGCATAAACGAGATCTACAAACACTAGTAAGTTCTCATGAAGACTGTTGCATCGAGGGGACTAAAATTAAAACTAAGTCTAATGCAAAATACCTCGGTCTAGTTCTATCCTCCGACCTTACTTGGACATCTCATCTCCTAACGATTTCTAAGAAAGTGTTCTGTCTAACCTACTACATTAGGAAACTTAGACAATCTGGAATCACCCAACCTCTACTTTCACAATTTGTCAACTCTTGTATCTTACCTGTTCTACTTTACTGCTCCCCGTTAGTCTTTCCTTGTCTACTAAAAAAGGACTATACCATCCTGAGAAGGATGTTGAAGAAAGTCAGTAGGACTAGTGCTGTAAAACTCAGTCAGCTCGTCACTACTTTAGTTGATAGGCATCTGAATACATGTGAAAAATGGTCAAAAACCATACTCTCCAACCCCTAACACCCCCTCTATTCCCAACTCTCTCCTTGTATCTCATCAGGTAGAACCAGAAATCAGTATAAAATAATCTATGTTCATACAACCAAGTACAGGAACTCAGCGATACCATATCTGGCCCGTGTTCTAAGTGACACAGATAATGTTAAGCGCGAAACCTATAACTTGCTTTGTTGTTAATAACATAATTTTAGGCTCTTTTATTTCTCTCTTATTTTGTATTCTATAGTGAACCGCTTCTTAAACACACTTAGCTACCTAAGTTATCAGCATTGGCTTACTTTTTGTACTTTACTGTATTCCTTCTTTTGCGTATCCACTGGTTCCGACTATATTAGCACTATGAGTATTACAAAATTGTCCTGTCATTAACCATCATGTAGTTGTGGTTGTTGTTTTCTTATTTTCTATACTTTTCGGCAATATTAAACTGACAATCATTGGTTGTGAACGCCATAGTCACCACCTTAAAAAATTTTGTATTATTCAGGATTACTCACACTACCACTACAAACACTGCATTAGACCTGACAATAAAAAACAAAACAACAACCCTGAAATGTTATTTTATGATTGTTTAGAGTTGTTTCAACCAAATTAACTGATCATCTTGGCGATAAACATTCTTAAATATCATTTCATAACTTCTTGTATGACTACAGCTTTACTGTCACTATGCATAATCATATCATAGCTTCCACTAACCAATACTGAGACATTATTTTATGTTGTTTATTTTCCTTTCTATTTCTTGGTATTTTTTCGCATTTATAATTATTTTTGTGTTTTTTCCTGTTTTTTTTTGCAGTTGGTGTCTTTAGATTTATTTTTTTGTTTGTTTAATACTCCTTTTAAATGTTTGTAAAATTAGATGCAAATATTGTAGATATGTGCTGAAAATTCCACACTGTACCAGTAGTACTGTTTCTGGAATAAAGCAAATTATTATTATTATTATTTAAAAAAAATAGAAGAGAGGTAGATTTGAATTCGATGAGAACAAATCAACCGGTATTGCGGCAAAACACGAGAGTCATGAAAAGAAGACAAAGAAACGCGCAATACGAAGGGCAGAAGTAGCACATCCCCAAAGATGAGTGCAACAAATGACGATTTTCGCATAAAGTGTGTCCATAATTTCCCTATATGCCTATATCGAATCGCTAACAAACACTCCGTTATCAAGTCTCTTGTCTTCCTTCTCTCGTTACATACATAGATACGCATAAAGAAGGTGTATGTGCAGTCACGGGAAAGTCTTTTTACCACCTTGTGCTTTCTGTTGAATCATAGCAAGCATACATAACGATATGTGTACAGTAGTGCTTTCTGTCTATCTACCTGTCTGTCTATCTATCTATCTATCGATCCACCCTTCCTAAAGGATCCAGTATTTATCCACTAAGTTGAAATATATCAAATAACATTTTCCCACTCTTATCGATTTTTTGATTTGATTTGTTTCTATTCCATATGATCTAAATGGAGCATAGGGCTTAAAGCTTTGGAGATACAGTAGCGATGGGTGTGATTACCATCCTCACAAACAACCTTCCCTCCTTTTCCTCGCTTACTATCGGTTAGTAAACCAAACGACGTTTAGGAGTGTGACCATTTTGAAAGAAACCCAGATTCCAAGCGTTAAGAAAGAAACCTCACGCACAAAGGATCAAAGTTCAAGTCAAAGAAACAATGAGTGACAATACAAGTAGCCTAGAAGGTGTGAAAACACACACAGAAACAACCAGTCATGTCCAAGGTCACCCACCAGGAGAGATGATTAATAAACTCGTGGAGAAATCTAAAAGCTCACTTCATCGAATTGAAGTATGCGCTGAAAATGTCACCTTGTAGGGTGATGGAAGCTTCACAAATCAACTATCCATCTCAGAGAACGCAACCACATCAAAATCATCCACCTGAGCTACACATCTCCTCCATCATATATATATATATATGTATATTGCAATTGTTAGGCAAGGATACATCAGTTAAAAAGATACTTACGATATGAAGAAGTATACATCTGGTGCCAAATGTGCATTGAAGTATAAGCCAAATATCCATACATGTTGAAATGCTTCGGCTAGTGATTTCAAATTATCTAAAATAACATTTACTTTTTTTATAAGTAATAAATAGAGGGGAGAAGGAATTTACACTAATAAAAAATTTTATATTAAAGCTAAATTCTCGTAGTGTCTTCGTCACTAAAAAAGGTTTATTTCATTGTGTAAGTATGAAAAGGTGAGCACCAAACAGGATGTATGGTGTGTAGGATTATTTTTTACCTACAGACTTATTCTCCCCTCAGTACTGACAACACAGAATCTCGGCTTAGCTATAGTTAAAAACAGGATGACTTGACTTAACTCTATCTGTTTCTAAAACATAAAATAAATCATACAATTACATCAAGAAAAATGTACAATCCACTGTCATTACAAAAATAGGACAAAACGTACTGAACAGTATTGAGGGTTCGGACAAAAATGAACAGTCGATTAATTACATGTATGTACAAGTAGAATGACAGACAAAAAGGAACACTCAAGGTCACCATCACGTGGTGTAAGTTACATTAATTGGCCATTAATCGCGACAAAAAAGGTCACACAATATTGATTGGCTGTTCATCATACAGTCTATCTATCTATCGCGATTAACATGGTGATTCATCAATAAGAATTAAAAACTCAGCAGTTTCCATGTATTTCGACTTGGTTATTTATAACTCCATTATGGATAAGATTGTATTTTGGTAAGTCACAGTGTTGTTATACAGTAATATTAACTGATGACTACGTTTCGAGCACAAATTATTGCCACTCATAATGATAAGTTGTGTGAGTAACTTGATATGATTATGATCAATAGTTTGTGCTCGAAACGTAGTCATCAGTTAATATTACTGTATACTGTACTGTGATTTATCAAAATGAAATCTTATCTTATCCATAATGGAGTTATACTATACCGCACTGCCAAAGCTTTATACTTATATCAATCGGTTATTTATAGTTGACAAGAAGATATCCGCGCCTACTTTAAGATTTCAACATGTATAGAATCATCACTGATCTTATATTATTATTGTTCCCTTGGGTTCCTAGTGGAACATAGGGCTTCAACTGCACGTCTCCACTTGCTTCTCTCTTCTGCTGTACTTTCCACCGGCATCCATGTTAGTCCATACTGTTTCAACACCTCTTCACACAGTCTCCTCCATGTCACCCTTGGACGTCCCACTCGCAGCTTCCCTTTCGGCTTCCACTCGAGCACTGGCCTGACGCGCGATGTCACCCAGTGGTCTCCTCAGCGAGTGTCCAATCCATCTCCACTTTCTCCTGCATATCTGTTGGGTGATTGGTTCTTATTTTGTTTGTTCCCATAGTTTCTTGTTGGTGATTCTTTCCGGCCATCTGATCTTCAGTATAGAGCGAGCGAAGACAGTTGTTGTTGATAAAGGTCTGCAACAGGCTGTTGTAAATATTCTTTTTGACTCGCCATATTTCTGATCCGTATAGAAGAATTGACTGACTTGACGTTTGTATTGAAAATCCGAATCACTTTGTTGTTGATGCAGGCTGAGTGACAGCGGAAGATTTCCAGATTGGTTTCAGGTTGATGAATGTGTTTCTCGCCTTCCCGATTCTCGCTCGATTTGACATCCTCGTTGGTTCCTCGTGTAGTTGAGACAATGCTTCCTAGATAAGTGAATGAAGTAACCTCTTTCAAATCCCACCCGTTGATGGTGATTGGCGCTAGATGTTGCTGCTGTTGTTGTTGGTTGGTTGGTTATTTTCATAATCTCCGTCTTGTCTATGTTCACCTGGAGTCGTGTCTTAGCTGCTTCTTCGACCAGTTTATCGGTTTTCGCTTGTAAGTCTTCGATTTTGTGTGACATCAAACATAAATCATCCACGCGCGAAATCCAGGTCTTCTAGGTTCTTCACGTCGGTCCAGAATCTTCTCGTTTCCCACTGTCTGACGCATCATCCAGTCCACCACAATCAGGAATATCATTAATGATAACAAACACCCTTGATCTCTTGATTTTCCCAAGAAATATTCTGCTGCCTGGCTCTTGTCTTCTGTCTTTACAATGGGATCATGTCTTTCGAATCTTCAATCCAGTCTTCTGTTTTTATGTCCGGTTTTTGTTTCTGTCTACTGATTACCATGGAATGATTTGTAAAGACACATACATTATATGTTTGTTCATCATAACAATAGCCGTGTATCCCACTCACTCATTTAACTTACTTGTTAACTTATAACCATGTAATAGAATATGTCCTGTAATAATCCATATCATTGATAAAACTCTTATCCCATCAAGAAATTCTAAAGAAATCTTCTTTCTTCTTTCATCAAACACTTCAGTGCTTTCTTGAATTCTTTTTTCACATAATTTGACAGAATTTATAGGTAGGGAAAAAGCACAAACAATATGAAACAGAGGATAGCTTTGTAGTATATCTGAAAAGAGAATAAAATTGAAGTTGGAGATATTCTGTAGGAAGTGGTAATACGAATAATGAATATATATATCATCAATTATAACCACACAACTTCAAAACCTTCGTTTTACAGTTTTCTTTATTCATTCTTTATTCGTAGGGGTAATAGAATTTCCGAAGATGTCCGAAAGGACAAGTGTTGGATCATTGCTTTGATATCCTCGTCAGTTCCGTCTGCCTGTAGTTGAAACGATGCTTCCAGGTAGGTAGGTAAAAGAGGTTGTTTCTTTCCTATATTCCCTCCTATTTATCGTCGTGGGGGGAGTAGAATTTCCGAAGGTGTCCGAATGGACAGGTGTTGAGTCATATCTATTACACGTATTTCCATTGGGTTGATTCGATAAATAAAGCCTCCATTGTTGTTATCAATCACTCCCTTCACCCTGTTGTTATATTAGATTTTAGAACTGGCATGTTATCCCAATCTATTTATGTGTAATTGCATTTGATGAATAATATAGCTGAACTACTCTCAAGATTTCTTATCTTAGTAGGGTCAACTAATCTAGATTTTAGTAGGTTTATGTGCTGTCCCACTAGTCTGAGTGGCCCCCCTTCTACTACTCTGACGTATGCATTTGACGTGAGAATGATTGCAGGCGGAGTATTAGATAAAGTGAATTTTTTGTTTAATTGGCTGCTCCACAGGATCCTTCAACCAACAAAGCTTATTTCTAATTGAGTTTTCCAGAAGTTTGAATACCAGCCAATTTTATTCCTGCCTAGTGTGTCAAGAATTCTGTGTAAGGTTTCCAAAATTCTTTATTTGTATGGAAGTACCACTGATGATCCTTATTCCCTACTGTTGGTATTGTTATTATTCTGTGCATGTTTGATATGCATGCCATCATTAATAATAATGGTATCACTATTATTGCCACTGTCACCGTCATTATTACTGCTATTAATTCTATTTTTACACTTTCCTGCATACTTCCTGATTAATTTGTCAAGGTAATTATTAAGTTTAATAGCTTCTCTTATATGCCGCATTGTCTGTCTTAGATTTTCCTTGGTACGCCTTAGTTTCTCTGCCCTATTGTCACTCAAACATTTAACCAATCCCACTATATTTACTGACATAGGATGGGATGATTCGAAATCCGAATATCAGTTTTTATGCGTTGGTTTTCTGTAAACACATCAGTGTGTTTAACTTCCCATCTTCTTTCCTTTTTACACTGCAATCTAGCATTGGAGGCTCCCCCGCTTTTTGACTTTCCAATTCATAAGTGAATTGAATTGCCTCTACTTTTGAGTTGATGTGTTTGGAAAATCTGTCTATATCCTTTGTTTTAAGTACATTGAATGTGTCATCTGCATACCTCTTCCATACTTTTCGGGTGGAGCTGAACGTAATTAAATCAACCTTTAAGACATAAACAGATGTATTAAACACATATATTATTACTCGAGGATATCAAAGCGAGAATCATCGGGAAAGTAAGGCAAGCTCTCATTACTCTAATTTCTGTGTGGAGATCAACAGCACTTCTCAGCATGAAAAATAACATCCGGATTTTCAAATTCAATGTGGATTCAGTGCTACTTTATGGACCATAGACTTGGGGCGTCACGAAGGGCACTTCGAACAAACTACAGAACTTCATCAATAGCTGTCTTCGCCCAATACTGCTCAAGATCAGATGGCCGGTCAGAAAAGATGACCAACGGGGATCTCTGGGAGCGAACCAACACAGCAGGAATAAATTTTGCAATAAATAAGCAGGGAGAAATGGAGGTGGATTGGCCATACTCTGAGAAAACAAACCATCAATTGAGTGACATCACTAGACAGGCCCTAGAGTGGAACCCGTACGGGAAGCGGTGAGTTGGCCGTCCAAGGGTGACTTGGAGCAGGTCATGTGAAGAAGAGATGTAAGCATATGGACAGACGTGGGGCCAGGTAAAAACATTGGTAGAGAACCGAATGCCATGGAGATGTACGACTGAAGCCCTGTGTTCCTCTAAGAACTAAAGGAAACAATAATAATAAATACCCCCTTGGGTTCTTAGTTAAAAATAAAGCTCCAACGCCACATCTCAGTTTCACATTTGTCCTGTGAAATCTTTCTAAGTGGCTGCAAAACTTCCCATGAAATTTCAGTTCCTCTTCATCCTAGGACCAACGCCCAACTTGTAGTTTCCGTTTCGAGTTCCACTCAAGGAATCGTATTTTCACCGGCATATTTGTTAGGCGATAAGTTGTTGATTGCTTCGTTCTCAGAATCTCTTGTTGCTATTCCTTTCTGGTGATTTTATTTACAGTGTGAGGTTAAGGGTGGCTACTGATAAAAGTCTGTAGTCTGAAGAAAATACTTTCGGCAACGCGCCAAGTTTCTGGGCTATATAGAAATATTGACTTTCAGAATATAGTGCATAAATTTTAGGCTACTTATTTCATTTCAGTAGTATACGCGCAAATAGTAGAAGTACAATGGAAATTACTTCATACCATATTTGAAACAGGAAAATATTATTGGAATCTCACTCACTTTTTGAAGTCAAAGCTGAGAATCTTGTTCACTATTGGCAGCAGAAACATATTTCCAGCATGTTGACTTACTGGAATCTAACTTGAGTGGTTTTCCTAGTGGGTATCTGGATGTACTTTAAGACCAATTCTCAGATTACTTCCACCAATTTCACAGTAAACGCCTTAGATTTGTGTAAAAATCTTTTGCAAAGTGTAAACGCAACACTTCACCTGGTGTAATTTTCAAGGATAGATTAGTTATTTAATTAAATTTTAGATTTTCCCGTCGATTGATTAGACCAAAGTTCTTGGTCTCAGGTTGAATTGTCGGCTTCTTGTGCAGATGCTTCAACGATGTCTGGGCATGTAATTCGAAGTTAATTCGTCGACGATGGCTAGTAGTAGAATCCAGGATGCGCATCCTACCCTATTTGGGATTCGTGGTCAGCTGGATGTACCTGCATTCCGTAGTGAGTGATGTTGGGCACTGGGTTCGAGCCTAGGTGGGAACATCATCACATTTCAGGATGTAGACTCATCCAGCTGACGACTCCCAAATAAGATGAAATGCACCTCCTGGATTCCACTGCTAGTCATCATCCACCAATTAACTTTGATAGATTAGTTATATTAAATAAATCTGTATGCACACATATTCTCTATCACTGGATATGTTGCACGAGTGAAGTCATTTGAAGGCTACATTGTCTGAAAACAACTCTTCTGGTCACCTGACTGTTACACTGTTCTTATCAGTGTTTACAAAAAAACATTGAAATCTAATATTAAAATGTTACTGATGAAATCATAGTCCTGATTCAGTGTACTTTATAGCAGTGGGTGCGGTTAAATGAGAATATTGATTACAGCCGCAAGTATAGAATACATTTCGTCATAGAAAAGTGAATAAACATGCAGCCTTTCCTTTGATTTCATTACGTGTTAACATTAGTAAGAATGACTATGTATATATATATATATATATATATATATATATATATAATTGTTTCCTTTAGTTCCTGGAGGAACATAAGGCTTCAGCCACACGTCTCCATTGAGTTCGGTTCTCCATCCACCTTTCATCTCCTCTTCGAATCACCACCTCGCAATAACGACCAACTCACCGCTTCTTCTTCAGATTCCCCTCGAGTAATGGCCTGTCGTGTGATGTCACTTGATGGTGGTTTGTTTTCTCAGAGTATGGTATATATATATATATATATATATATATACGCAACAAAAAGAATAAATAACAAGAAACTTTGGGAACGAGTCAGTCAAGAACTTATTGTTCAACAAACATTCCGAAGAAAATGAAGATGAATTGGATGCATTTTGAGAAAACCTTCGGATGATATCATGAACCAGGCAATTACTCGAGGGGAACTCGAACGGGAAACAGCAAATTGGTCATTGATCCCAGGATGACACAGAAGAGATCGTGAAAGCAGGAGATGTAAGACTACGTGGTGTCATGGAGCCAATTGAAGAAGACTGCAGGTAACAATGTGAAATGGTGTTGTGCTTCTGATGTCCTATGTTCCACTCAGACTACAACAAAATAACAACGTATACTGATAGTAAAAATATTCTTCATTAGTTATTGAATTCAATTTTCACCTTCCGGGTGATTGACTGGACCGGTGTTCTCGTCTTCAGGTTGGCATGTTGACCCCTAGTGAAGATTCTTCGACGATGTCTGATTATTTAGCTTGAAGTATCTAAATGCTAACTCTTTTTAAGGGGATCGGGGTTACTGAAGGATCGTGTATAATAGGGTGAGCAATATTGAGGTAAGGCTTCGGTTGAGTGCTAGGTAAGGAGGGGAAATCCATGCACGAGGCTGTGAAGTTACATCGATTGAGATGGCTAGGGCATGTGTTACGTATGCACCCCTAGCCATTGCCTTCCTCGACGACGGCCAATGTTAGTTGACATAGGGTCAGGTTGGAAAAGAGCTAGTTAGTGGAGGTCAAACCAAAATATGGCTTCACCGGTCAATGAAATCCACAACAGTTAGTTTAATCAAGCTATGTAGAAAGGTGCGTCGGTAGTATAGCGGTTGGGACGCTCGCCGACCATGCACATGGTCCGGGATTCGATCCCCGGCCACAGACGCACTCCTTTACCTCGCTGAGCCAGAAATAATGCTGGTAAAGAGGGAAGGTTGGGCATGAGGCTAGCAACCCCATCCTGTAAAATAAACACTGCTGCAGAAACTTCAAGCCAACTAGCTTGAAGCCCTATGTTCCACTGGGGAACGTGAAGGAAAAAAACAAAAAAAACGTAGGAAGGTGTAGACTTGTTGACTGGTTAGGGTCCTCAGTATGGTAAAAACCAATGACGGCTGGAGACAATTGGTGATATGACTGTAAATCGTTCTTATTGTCGAAGATTTCATTTAACTCCTTGTGACTTATAATATCTAATAAAATTTATATTGTTCTTCTGTGTTACTACCATTCTTTTTGCCTCATATTTCT